GACAGAACACTTCCACTGAACAATACAAGCATCCAAGTTACATTCAGCAGGATCATACAAAGTGATAGGATTCACATGGGGAACACTTAGGCATCCCTTGGGTTTGATCTCTTCCCCAAAGACTAAGGAGGAGAAATAGGATGTTCTAGCTCCAAAAAGAAGGGTTGGTTCTGGCCACTGCACTTTCCTCCAAGCAGTTTATCTCCACTGCTCAGTCGTGGATGTTTTTCCTCATGCATCTCACACATTCAGCATCATCTCAGTGATATTTTTAAAGCCTGTCCTGTGCCCTCATTTGTATTCAATTGCCTTTCGAAGTAAAATGTTAGGCATTTCATGCTATTCAAACAAAGTCAAAACAAAGCCTCCAAATAAGCACTTCTGAAATGTACCTAGTCATCTGAGTAATTAGACATTTTCCTAGCTCCAAATGTACTGAAAATCTATTGTAAGCTCCCAATGAATGTGCCAGCAGTCACCCTAACCAGGAAGAGTTCTCTCCTAAATGTTAGCATACCGACAGAATAGAAGGCTTAAGATACATTTACATTAACATCTCTCCCTACCTGAATTAATCAGTGTTTTTAATTGCGTAGCATCACCTGATCATAAGTATTACTCTAGCAAGTTGTTCACTTTTCTCTGATGATATGATGCACAGCTGGCATTGCTCAAGCCAGGTCAGAACATGCTCTCACTGGCCAGGAGAAGTTCCCATTCCCAGTGCAGGCATGCATTCTTCACGCCGAAGGGCAAAGTGTTCCACTTCTGAGTGAATTTGTGGCAAATCCTCACAGGGAGAGTCAGCTGTGGACTTCACACAGGTCACAAGCCCCTCAACACTCTGCTAGCAGAGGGAATTACCACGTATGGGTGCAAACCTGCAGATTGCTGGAGTGGCTCCATGCCCCAGCAGTCCTTGCTGTGTCCCTGCTGTCACACATCTGCAGTGCTGTCACCTTTCCATGTTCACAGAGCCCTCTGCAACTCACGAGCCCACAGGAGGCAGGCAGCCAGACAGGCCAGTGGGAGAAGATGGGAGCTGGCAGAGAGAGAGGAGCACACAGCCTGGGGCACGAGCACACTGTTAGGATCCACTCAGCAGCCTGAATCCGAAATCTCACCCCAGCACTTTCCATTGCCCCTGGGGATGTCCGTAGCTGCTGTGGATGTCCGAGGGATGCACGGCCATGCCACAGCACTGAGCAGTCACATCCCTGCACCCCCAGCCTCCTGTGGGCCCAGGGGATGTGTGGAACCCCTTTGCATTTCCTCATCCAGCAGGCAAGCTGCAGAGGTGAGCCAGCACGGAAAATGCTCAGGCAGTGCCCAGTCAGCAACCCTGGCCCTCCAGCAGCGCCTTTTCTCTGGTCTGTCCCACAGACTGCTTCCTGCAATCCCCTGGGACACTGGGTCACACCTGCTCCACATCCAGCTTGCTCTCAATCCACTACAGTTCAAAGCTTAGCAGCAACTTTTACAAGTTTGTGACAGCCAAGGCAGTAGCCTGAAACAAAACCCACTCCAAATGAGAATATTGCTGCCTTGCCTTGCTTCAGCAGACCCTTCCAACAGACCTTTCCCCCAAAGACCTCTCTTCTCTGGACACTGGACAACCTCCACATGGTGCCATCGCCTCATGAGACTACTTCAACATGGGACAGTACTGCATCCTGCCTCTAATCCCATAGATTCCCACACCTGCCATTCACACCCACAGATTCATCAAAAGATTGGAAGATAAAGAAACCAACACCAAAATCCACAGGACAACTCTTACTTCCACTCTCTCAGCGTGAGGAAAAAGTGTTGATTAACTTGCTGCCATGCAGCAAGAAGATCACTCTCAGTGTTTACAGGTGGTAGGGAGAACTTTATATAATGTAGCCTTCCTCAAAGGAAAGTCTTTCAGTGCACAGAAGAAAGAAACAGCAGGAGAAGGTGGCATCTCTCCCTTCTGGTATGCAGTGGATACGCCCAGATAGTGAGACATTTTGAGTCACATTTCTGGGATGACTAAAAGAAAGTAGCTGCATTTCAGAAATGCTATGGTCAAACCTCCCAGGAGCTACGTGTGCTGAAGAATAAATCATAAAATCACTTCTGCAGACGGCAGAGGAGTAAGAGAAACCAGAACAAATGCAAAACACCACCTCACCTCATGTTTCACACTGAGCACACAACTGCAGAACACCACCATGACTCTTCTCTACTATTCTTCCTTAAGTTTAGGCACAGCCCTCTCACACAAGGGAACTCCATGGATGCACCAAGGCAGCCTTCCAGATTTTGCTGACACCGCACCCAAGCTGAGTGGACTTTCAGTAAATCACCCACCAGAGTGTGTTGAAGCACACACACATCCACACAAGCACCCAGCCCACAACCTAGAGCAGTGCAGGCACAGACCACTCCAGGCACTGCTTCCACCCACCCCTCCTGCTCCAGGCCACAGTAGGAGTAGGAGAAACACCTTAGAAACGGGCTAAGATTTATTGAACCAAAAGGAAAAGGGAAGGAAGCAGCATTCCCTCCCCAGGCATGCGCTCCTCTTCGTGAATCTTCTGACTTTGTGCCAAGTCCAAATCTCTTCTCCACTTGGAAAGCCTGTCCTGCCAACAGAGACCCAGAAGGGAACGGGTGAAAATCTCAGAAGAGGCCAAGACAGTTCCACAGTGTCTGACCACACTGCAAGGCCCACTCTCCTCCACATCCGCCCCTCACGTCCCAACAGACATTTGCTGGGACAACAAGCTCACTTGGGAGATGCTTTCCCACGCAGAAGACTTCATTCTAATACCTCTTGCTTTAAGATAAAAGAATCTTAAATGTCATTGTGCCATAATAAAAATCATCACCATATAAATTTAAAAGGCAGAGGCAGTGGCATAACGTAAAGGTTTTCAAACAGAAAGGTCTGTTGCAAAGCCCATAACGAAATGCAAAGCATGATGATCAGTGATCAGAAACAGCAGAACTGACTGCTGCAGAACTTGGTGTTTGCCCAGCACACACCTCACCATGCCACAGGACCAAGATCCCCGCAGAACCTGCAACCTCAGCTGCTCCTGACCTCACTTTGGATTAACAAACCCACCCTGCACCCACAGCCACAACTGCAGCCTGAGCCCAGCCCGTGGGGGCACTCTGTGTCCCGCAGAAAACTCCACATCTGTGGAAAGACTGGTTCATAGGGTTGGGAGCAGCAGATGCATGGAGCTCATCCCCCTGGCTCGAGGGAAAAGGGCACCCAGGAAGAGCAAGCAAAGGTAAGGGCAACAGCAGGGCCAGAGAAAAGGGACCAACCACCACACCAAACTTCCTCAACCAAAACCTTTGTTCCTACAAGGTCCCAAATGCCCCAATTCTTCCATCACTGCCTCAGGGCAGGCAATCTCAGCACTTCCATCATCCCCTGCTTCAGAGCTTGCTTCAGCAATTCCAGAGTTTCCCCCTCAAACCCCAGTTCTGCCCCACCTGCCCAGATATCCACATGTGCTTTGCATTCCCCACATTCCTCCAGGCACCTCAGCCAGCTGCCTCCAGTCTGCTCTCCTCCACAGTTCCAGCACCCACCCTGGTGCTCCCCACCCCCTACCACACCAAGGCAGGGTCAGTGTCCTTACAGTGCATTTTCTGGTCATCTACAGATTTGCAAACAAGCAGGCTATGTTGTGAGCTCGTTTGCAGATCTGCAAGTATCAGCATAAATGATAATGCAGAATGAAAAGTCCTTGACAGTCGGACATTTGGGCTTTTATTTGTTTAACAGCCACTGTTACAAGGTTGGATGGGATGGAAACCCAACTGCCTTCCTGAGCAGTGGAGAGAATTGTTGTCAGAGCCCCCGTGTCCTCTGCACAGCAGGGACAGTGCCAATCGCACTGGAACCACAGAATGCTTTGGGCTGGAAGGGATCTTTTAAAGATCATTTAAGTCCAACCCCCGCCAGGAGCAGGGACACTTTCTTGTCTAGCGCAAAAATGAAAAAGCGCCAACTGCTCCTCCAGCTATTCCCATCCAGGCGACAACTTCCAGAGCAAAGGGACTCCCTGAAGGGGCACATTTCCGCGGGTGCCAGAGCCTTTCCAAGATCTCCCGTTGCAGAAAAGAAAGGCTGAACGAGATGCAAGCTGAAAAAGTTGCTTCCCGAGGCGCTGCTAGCACAGATAAACTGCTATAAACCCAGATTACCGGGAATAGCAGGACTCGGGTTCGCTTTTACCCCTCCGTCTTCGTGCCCACGCTGTCAGATCGCTACAGTGTTTATGATAGTTACTCGTCCCTGCAATACAGGGGCACGGCCACCAAGTCCAACCTGCTGTGTGGATGGCGCAGAAGACAGAGGGATTTGGGGGGGTTTGTAAAGCTCGCCGAGCTTTACGTTCCTGCCAGGTCAGCCTGATGACTCTGTTTCCTTTCTGCCCGCTCGCTACGTCCTCGTTTAAAACAAAACAAACAAAGATAAAGAGAAGCGCTCCAAAGATTTGTCTCCGGCACGTTTAAATCCTCAGAGGCATTCTGTTCTGAGCCAGGCTTGAAGAGCGCAAGATTTATAAAAACTAAGAGGAATGCCTGGATGCGGGCTCACAGCAGCGGCGGCAGGGACCACGGAGGTTTGCCCACAGCAGGGGCCGGGGAACAGAGGGAGACGGGCAGAGGGCGAGCACCATCCCCGGGGAAAGGGATGCGCACCCCGAGCCCTCCCGCGGGCACTGCCCGGCCAAGCGCCGCTGCCGGGGGATGGCGGGGCCGGGGCGCCGCGAAGGTGACCCCGCTCACGCCTGAGGGGCGGCGGCGGCCCCCCGCCCTCCCGCACCGCCACCCACCCCGAGAGCCGCGGCAGGAGCCGTGCCCGCCACTGCGGCAGCCGCGAGGGGCGGGAAGGGGCCCCGCCGCGGCGGGGAGGATCGCACCGGTGACGGGAACGGGGGGCGAGGAAGCAGCCGCGAAGCCGGGGAGGAAAGGGGGTGCGGTCCGCGCCCTCGCCCGCCCGTTACCTGGGCACGCAGCTGGGGCTGGAGCCGTCGATCTCCCAGGTGGCGAAGAGGTTCATAGGCACGGGCCGCCCCAGGGCCCCGGCGCCGCCGGGGAAGCTGAGGCGGCTCCGCTCGGCCGCCGCCGCCATGGCTGTGCCCGCCGCCCTGGCGCGCGCCCC